TACCCTTACCCCTCCCCGTGTCCTCAGGTCCATTCTCTACATTTGTGTCTTTATTCCAGTCCTGCCCCTAGGTTCTTCAGAACCTTTTTTTGGATTCCATATATATGTGTTAGCATACGGTATTTGTTTTTCTCTTTCTGACTTACTTCACTCTGTATGACAGACTCTAGGTCCATGCACCTCACTACAAATAACTCAATTTAGTTTCTTTTTATGGCTGAGTAATATTCCATTGTATATATGTGCCACCTCTTCTTTATCCATTCATCTGTTGATGGACACTTAGGTTGCTTTCATGTCCTGGCTATTGTAAATAAAGCTCTGGCAGTGTTTTTAGCTGTAATCCCCTGTTATACAGGAGTGCTGTTAATGTGGTGACAAAGTGTGGGTAGAATGGAAGCATTCATGAGTCTTATGATTAGTGTGCCTGAGTTGGGTATTTCCTATCCCCCAGGTCAGTTCAGCTCTGGTAAAACTCCAGTCAGTTAGGCTCTGATAAAAGTTTTCCTTGAGGGCAGGCCTTGTTAAAGAGAATAGAGAGGTCTGGATATATTTCAAAATGGCTGCTTTTCCTCTCCCCTTGCTAGAAGGACAAGAGAATTTTTCTCCCATCTTCACTGTGAGAACCTCGTAGCGCTCTTGAAGGTAAAATGCATGAAAGTGTGGAGAACCCCCTAAGGCTGGGCCCACTGGGGATTTTTAGCTCTTGAGCTAGTCCACACTGAGCGTCTAGCAATTTGTCAATTACAGTTTTTAAAGTCTTCTTACTGATACTGGCTTCAGCTGCAGGCTTCTTCACCCAGTCTGCTATGAGTCTCCATATCCACCGGTCTGTCTCTCCATCTTACAGAACAGCAGTTTGCCTTGTGACCTCAATTCTCTGATGGATCTAAGAAGTGATTTTAAGTTTGCTCAGCTTTTTTCTTATTGTGAGTATGGGTGTGATGACTTTCAAGCACTTGACACGTGAAGCCAGAAACTGGAAGTATATACATTTATTTTTTAATTTTCAAAACACATCTAGAAAAACATGAATCTTTCTGAAGTTTCAGCTTACCTGAAAATATTTACAGGCTGTGTGGCTTTGTGCAATTTAATTCACCTCTTCATCTATAAAATAAGCATAATAATAACTACCTTGCTAGATTGTTGTAAGACCTAAATGAGATATGTAAAGCATCTAGCACAGTGCATGGCTCATATATATTCAATAAATGTTAGCTTTAGTTATGGTGTCATTTATCTTCATCAGAACCCTAGGCTTGAATAGAGACAAAGTGTACAAAGTATTCCCTAATTTAGAAGATGAAGAATCAGAAGAAAATGGCCCACTTGCCTTATTGTCAGTTTGTGATTAAGCCAGGACCAGACTCAGGCTAGGACTGCTGCTGGCTTCCATGGCCCTGATGCTATTACAAGACCCCTTTTCTTAATATCAGATAGCAAACAGCCCGGCCACATTGATCAAAACCTGTCAGATCTCAGATTTACTACTATAAAAGCAGTCCCAAGGACTGCACAGCTGTTTGTCCCACTCTGATGTATTTGTGGGGTTTGCCTGCAGAAAGCATGATGGTTACAAATAGAGGGTATTAGAATGATAGAAAAAGGTAGCCTGTTACCACGGAAACAGACATGTGACAGTGGTAGTGCTCTGAGTAGGTATGAAAAAGGTTCTGAAGCATATAGAGAAAATAAATCAATATATCTAAAATGTTATAGAACTCAGCAGAGGTTACTGCTTTTGCTCTGGTCAAGATGCTCATATCTAATATGGGATAGTTCTAGCTCCCTGGTATTTTCTCTCTAGAAGACGGGAAACCACAATGGCCTCAAACAAAAGAAATGAGAATGGCAGATATAGAACCAGGGCTTAGAGGACCATGTTGAAACTCATAAGAATTATTTACTGGCCATGGTGGTTTTCCATCTTCTAGAGAGAAAATGCCAGGGAGCTAGAACTCCTATACTGCTGAGATGATGTACTCACTAGCACCTATGGGAAGTGCGATACAATTTAAGGATAATCTTGCCCATATTTTTTCATCCTCATTTTTTTCTGAGGGATATGCCAAATGTCCACTGAATAGATGGAAGCTCCCTGGGAGCCCTTCTGTGACACAAGAAGAAGTGGAAGATAGGGCTTTGAGCCCCTGTTATTCTCAGCACTCTTCATGGCATGGCCATTTTGGAAAATAAAGATAAAAATTTTAGTTAGCTCCTTGCCTCCCGCTGTATACCACATCTATACCAGATTAATTAAAGATTTAAATATGAAAAATGAAATCATGAAAGAACTAGAAAAAAATATAAAGAGCTACCTATATAATGCTGTTGTATCCAAATTTAAAATGATAATGTAGAAATGTAGCTATTGACATAGAAGAAAGTTATCAAACAACATTTTCATTTGATCACATTTTGTAAAAATACATATTTATATGCATAGGAAATTTCTAGATATGCAGAAAATGTTAATAGTGGTTATTTGTGAGTAGTTTTTTTAAGCTATTTTTTTCCTTTTTGCTCCCCTTTTCTATGTATGTAGGCGTGCATGCATTTAAGTATGTATAATGAGTAGGTATTTCTGGTATAAAAATAATAAAAGTTAACAAAAATTTTTTAACATCTTTATTGGAGTATAATTGCTTTACAGTGGTGTGTTAGTTTCTGCTGTATAACAGAGTAAGTCAGCTATACGTATACATATATCCCCATATCCCCACCCTCTGCATCTCCCTCCCACCCTCCCTAACCCACCCCTCTAGGTGGTCACAAAGCACCGAGCTGATCTCCCTGTGCTCTGCTGCTTCCCACTAGCTATCTATTTTACATTTGATAGTGTATATATGTCCATGCCACTCTCTCACTTCATCCCAGCTTACCCTTTCCCCTCCCCGTGTCCTCAAGTCCATTATCTACGTTTGCATCTTTATTCCTGTCCTGCCCCTAGGTTCATCAGAACCATTTTTTGTTTAGACTCCATATATATGTGTTAGCATATGGTATTTGTTTTCCTCTTTCTGACTTACTTCACTCTGTATGACAGACTCTAGGTCCATCCCTCTCATAAAAGTTAACGAAAAAATTTTAACTTCCCTTTCCCTCTTTTCCCTTGTAGATATCGGTCAAACTTCCCTTGTAGATATAGGTCAGACTTCCTCCAGGAATTTATTTTTCCTCAGCTAGCCAGTATAATTCCTTAAGTCTCCCCCCTTTAGTACTTTCCTATTCAACTGTAAGTTCTCTGAGGATACAGTTGTGATTCATTATTTACTGTGCCTTCCCTAGGTGTGCTCAATAAGGACTAGGTGCATGGTGATCGTCTGATTTCCTCAAAGCCTGCTTTGAAGTCTGATGTAATAGTACTTACCCTTTAACCATTTGAAATGGTCAGCAACTTGGCCAGGGCTAACGCAATCTGTCTGTGAGGCCAGTGGCTGCAATGGCTGTCATCTCACTGCTTTCCCAGGCTGAGGTGGCTGACTGGTTGGCTGGTAGCTGGTTGATAGGGTTATAGGCCTTTTTGTGTAAATCCTTCCCCAGACAGCTTTCTGGTTCCAGGAGGTGGCCCTTCTCAGGCTGTCTCTTAGTCAGTAGTATCTGTGTAGCTGTGCTTCCTTGCCAGAACCTCTGTGTACATTCTCAGGAGCTCTCAATGTTGTTAAAAACATACAAGATAGGCAGTAAAGAAAGAAGACCAAGAACTGGGAGGAGAGAGAAAGAGAGAAAAAAATGAGGATAAAAGAGTGGAGGATCATGACCTTACGTGCAGCAGGTTGCTTAACCCAACTGTAAACATCCCCTGCGCATAATAATACCTACTGTGGCACGTGAAATTACTTTGCCAGGGAAGTCTACACAGACATTGGTTTTCGAGGGACCTGTGCAAGCTCTGATGGCCACGCTGGCAGCCCTCCAAGTTAGAGATTTTACTGACTTCTGATTGAAGTCTGCTCAGACAGAATCTTTGATAGAGCCTGCTCTTATAGGTAAAGACCATTCCAAGCTTGTTGCAAGAATAAAATGAGATGATAGATGGAAATAGATTTTTTAGTCTATAAAACAGTATACAAATGCTGGTCTTTTTGTGAGCTCCTGAGGACACTGACAGGGGTTTAATGTTGTCCAGTAGGGTCTTCATGGGAGTTTGGAACAGATTTTTAAATATGTGCACCTAAAGAAAATCAAATCCACCTACAGAATGAAGTGAATTGAGTCCCCAGTAGGGAAAAACATGCCTGCATGTCTGGGAGACACCTAAATTGTGTATGTCTGAAGAGTGATTGTTACCTAACTATATAAGAAAAGCCTTGGGCTTTCTGAGTGCCCTCAATTGATTAGAAATGTTTTCTTTAGAAGTAATTCCCCAGAAAATGCTTGTGATTTCATTGTCGATGAAACTGTTGACACTTCTTTTAAAGTGTCTGTTAACTTATGTTAAATTACAGTGGGAGTGCATGTGGCCCCCAGATGAATGTATTATGGTCGCACCGTTTTAACAACTAACGATTTGAATAACGATAAGGAAGTGACTAAAAAGTAAACTGCTGCTGCTCTGCTCCTTCCATGAAAATGACCCTTTTCTCCTTCCAGCTTCAGCACGTGAGACTTCACATCACTTCCTGACCTGAATGCGTGACTCTTCAATCTCAGGACTTGCATAATTAATGGAATGCCGTCCTAAGGTTGTTGAGTTCTGCATTTCTGGGCATTTCATCTTTATGGCGAAGTACCCATTCCCTCACTCCAAAGACTAATAAGCCTGAAAGATTTTTCTTCCGAGGGAAGAATCTTCCTTGTAACTTTATTGTTACAGCAGTCAGAGATAGATTGGGGAGGTTTGATAGTTGGGCAATACCTTGCCAATAACCTGACCCTTGGCATGGGGCTCCCTCAAATTTGCAGTGTCTTGGGGATTCCTCCTGTGACTGTCTTGAAGAATAAACACTTTATGTTAATTTCCAGTGACTTAGTTTTCCATTTTCTCTTTTTAACAGGTCCAGTTAAAAACAAGAAAAAGGGTAAGTCAAGCTCCTGATTTTGTAAAATTGCTGTCATGTCTTTTCTAAAATTAGAAGAAAAAATCAAGGGAGAAGGATTTTTATATTCGTTCAACGCTGGTTGTCCATTATTTTACTCAATCACGTGTGATCTTCTTGAGTATTGTAGCTTCCAAGGAATAAGAAATATATATCATTTTTCAGTGATGATCCATGAAAGATAGAATTGCTTCCTAGCAACATGTGAAAGTTGTTTTTGCTTTTCTTTCTTATTCCCTCTTCCATACAATTCATTTTACATCTCTTTCCTTCATTCTTCCTTTCTCTTTCCCCTGCCCTTCTCCTTTCTCCTTTTTTTCCCCTCCTTTATCAAATCAGTGGCCAGGTACGAATGAAGTCCTGAGACTGCTTGTAGGGACTAGGTATACTACCTCTTGAGAGATGTCAGTACCCTATTTTTTGGCCTAAAAGCTATCCCTGTCCTATTTCTCAGAGAGTCAGGGAAGGTATTTCTTGCTCTGGGGTTTCAATATCATTTTCTCTGTGATGGAAAACCTCAGCTGTAGTAGTACCCTGATCATTTAGTCTTTTCCAAGAATCTCCTAGTTGAGTGGATCCATTGTGCCGTTGTTGGGTCTGTAAGTCTCCAGTGTACTTGCAATGGGAATGGCCCACGAATTTGTACAAGTGCTTGCCTGCCTGAAGAGGAGAAACCAAAGACAGAACAGGTTCCAAAAGACAGGACCAGGCAATGTGGTCCACTCCTTAGGACTAAAAGAACCAACCACGAAACGAGTTTTAAGTACCTATTTTTTTCTGTGTTCTGACCTGGGAGGAAAATAGAGTGAAATTCATGAGTTTTCATTAAAATGCTCTAAGCAAAATGATTCTGTCTGTTAACATTTCCAGAGCTTTACAGAGTAGATTATCAATCCCAGACTAGGCCCGAAAGACAGGCTTCAGCTGCCTCCTGCCACTTCTCTGAGTACTAGGGTACTCTGGTGGCTTGAGATGCCATGGCCCACATGGGAAACCTGTGTCCCTGTTGTAAAGAAGCTGAAGAATGGCCTGGCCCCTAAGGACCTGAGCTGAGCAAAACTGGAAAATAGCCAGAGAACTGGAGTCAGTGAGGAAACCTTTCTTTGTGGAGCCTGGGCATTCACTAAGCTATTCTGTCTTTTAAGAAAGTCAATGTGACTTTTTTTTAATAAATTTATTTATTTATTTATTTTTGGCTGTGTTGGGTCTTTGTTGCTGCACACGGGCCTTCTCTAGTTGCAGCGAGTGGGGGCTACTCTTCGTTGCGGTGCACGGGTTTCTCATTGCAGTGGCTTCTCTTGTTGCGGAGCATGGGCTCTAGGCACGCGGGCTTCAGTAGTTGTGGCTTGCGGGATCTAGAGCGCAGGCTCAGTAGTTGTGGCGCACGGGGCTTAGTTGCTCCGCGGCATGTGGGAACTTCCCGGACCAGGGTTCGAATCCGTGTCCCCTGCATTGGCAGGCGGATTCTTAAACACTGTGCCACCAGGGAAGCCCAAATTTGACTTTCAAGTGTGTAGTTTTCCATTCTTATCACATCCCTTTAAGACAGAAATTTTAACAAACCTAGAAAGCTCCCCTGGCCCGGACAAGGACACCCTCTGCTCCTAGCACAAGCCCAGGGATGACTTCCTTACTTTCTTTCTTTTTTTAAAGAAATTTATTTATTTATTTATTTATTTATTTATTTATTTATTTATTCATTTATTTCTGGCTGCATTGGGTCTTCGTTGCTGCATTCAGGCTTTCTCTAATTGCAGCGAGCGGGGGCTATTCTTCGTTGAAGTGCGTGTACCTCTTATTACGGTGGCTTCTCTTGTTGCAGAGCATGGGCTCTAGGCATGCGGGCTTCAGTAGTTGTGACACGCAGGCTTCAGTAGTTGTGGCATGCGGGCTCAGTAGTTGTGGTGCACTGGCTTAGTTGCTCCGTGGCATGTGGGATCTTCCCGGACCAGGGATCTAACCTGTGTCCCTTGCATTGGCAGGTGGATTCTTAACCACTGCACCACCAGGGAAGTCCCCTTCCTTTCTTTCTTAATAGGTAGACTGGAGAGCACTTTCTAATGACAGCTACTAAGTTTTTTTTCCCCACTCACTCATTCACTAGACAGTGAATAAGCATCTTGTAATTGTCAGGAAGAGAGATACAGAGATGAAGAAAAATGGTTCCTGCCCTCCAAAATCTCCCGGTATAGTTGGAGTCACGGAAGTACACACAAATAATTGATGTACAGTATTTTTAAAAGTGCAATTATAGAAGCATGAGCTTCCCATGCTTAGTCCCACATCTCAGAGAAAACGTTATCTAACCTAGACTTTGAAGGATGAGGAAAAAAGAAGGGGAAGAATATTCCAGCAAAGAAAACTACATACTGAAATCTCTCAGAGGCATGAAAGAACATGTCATGTCTCAGGGAGCAGCAAGTAGGCTAGTGATTTACCCAAATATAGGGCATGTGTGTGGTGGGGAGCAGCACCCATGTGAACTGTCATCCAAGGGGTGAGCACCGAAAGAACACACTTGCTGGTGGTAATGGAAGGCAGCTTTCTAGGCAAGAAGCTCTGAAATTACAAAGTCAAGAGATCCCAATGCCTCTGGCAGTGACTTGGATCACTGCCCAGCACTGCTACCTTGTATGTGGGCCACTATTGGGAAGAGAATGCACATAGGCTTTAAACATTTGCCTTGGCTGAAAGTGATTTAGAAGCCATTTGATAGTGATTTCCTTGGACACAGTGAATAGACACATGCCTGAAGAGGTAATTGAGTTGTTCATTTAATTTCCATCCTTTAATGGAATTTTCCCCCTCCCATAACTTTCTCTCTCTCTCTCTCTCTCTCTCTCTCTCTCTCTCTCTCTCTCTCTCTCCCTCTCTCTCTCTCTCTCTCTCTCTCTCTCTCTCTCTCTCTCTCTCTCTCTCTCTCCCCGCCCCGTCCTCCATCTCTTGCTTTTAGTTCATTCTTTCAACAATTTGAGCTTCACTAAAAGAACGTGTGTATTCTTGCATCCAAGGCTACACAGGGTAACTTGATAAGTACAAAAGTCTCTGGGCTTTTGTATCGTGAGGTGCTCTGTTAAAGTAAGGAAATCCAGAGAAGGAATACAGTCCTCTAAAGTCATCTTCTTGGTCCAGGGGCCATTTTGTACATGCTCCTCTGTGGGCCAACTTTCTGTATGGATGCAAGGATGAGAAGCACAGTTACCTAAACCTGGTTGCAGAGGAGCAAAGAGGACCAGCTGCAGAACTAGAACCCAGCAGGAGCTTGTTCTCAGTTGCCTTCTAGCATTTTCATAAGTGAACATTCTCTGTTTACACTGCAACCATTATTCACTTTCACTGCAGGAGTTTCTGGCTCTAATTCTTCCAAAATTACATTAACAATCACAGGAGACTCACAGTCTTGACACTAAAGTTCACACTACCCACAGAAGGCCCTCTAGCTCAAAAATCACTGTTAGGCCTGGACATTCTGGGACAGAGGACAGCCTACTATGCACCATCCCCTGTGTCTGTGCCACTCAGAGAAGAGTGAGAGAGAAGCAGACTTTATAACCAGGCTAAGGAAGTTTCCTGACTGCCAGGGGTAAGTCAGTCCTCCTTATGGAACCTCAGTCTTGGGAGGAAACTTAGAGAAATCATTGAGGCCAAGCTCCTCGTCTTACCGATGGAGAAACTAAGGCTCAAGGGGAGGAAGGGATTTACCCAAAGTATACGTCCGCGGCAGAGCTGAGGCTTACAGCCTTATCTCCTGACTACAGATTCCTTGTTTTCTCCACTACACTAGCCGGAATTGAAACTTGGGCGCTGAATAAGCCTGACTTGGAAGCTGCCCAAATCTGAAGGGAGATGGCTTTCCTGTTCGGCATCTTAAAATTTGCTAGGTCTCAAAACTGGGCAGATTCAGTCTTCTGCTGCTAAGTGCAGGGAAAACGCTAAGACTCCTGTCTCTCCGTGAGAGAGAAGCTCTATGGACCTTCCTTACTTTCCTCCCTGGGGAAGGGGCCCCGCAATGACTCTGTTGTTTCATTGCAAATGCAGATGTGGTTAAGACATGGACAAGTGACCTCTTGAGTGGCATTGCCATGAGGATTGGGTTTCTTGAGCACGCGGCATTCTTCTTAAAAGAGGACCTGATACATCAGAACAGGATTCTCCTCCCTGAGAGCCCAGGGAGCCAGGAGGCAGAGTCAGGAAGGAGGTATTTAAATGAGACTTGACAGGGTTATATTTAAAAAGGAAGAAAGAATCACAGGTGAAGACACCATGATGGAGTCTGGGGAAAGGCTCCCATTCCTGAGACTTCCACAAGATGGTGAAAAAGCGGGGAAGGGAGGAAGCAGTCACCCACCTGCGACCACCTGCAGTGCTTGAATTGGACTGCATGGAGCAGAGGAGGTTAAACAGGAGGAACTGGAGGTTTTGGTTCAAAACCACAGTTATGACTCTGTTAACATAGCTGCATTCTGGCGGGGATGTGGGAAGGACTGGAATATGGAATAAGAAGGCTGAGACTGCTCTGAAAGGATAGCGAGGAGGAAACGGGGAGGATCTGGTGGCTTGATTAATAATACATTCAAGAATAGGGCCTCTGAGAAAAGACTTTGGGAAGCCAGATTATTTAGCCTATAAAAATAGAGGTTGATAGATGACTTAATGTCTTTGAGCACATGAGGGTTATTGTGTGCATGATGGTAGCTATTCTTCTCTATCTATACAAACAATAGAATAAGAGCTTAAACTGCCACAAGAGGAATTTCAGTTCAATATACAGAAGAACTTCCTAACAGTGAGGGGTTAATAAACATTGGAACATGTTACCAAGGGAGTTTGAAGAATTTCCTTTCCCAGAGATCTTTAAAAATAGGGTTTAGAGGGGTCAGCTGAGAAAGCAAAAGCCTGCCTGCTGCTTCCTCCTCAGCTCAGCTCTCTGCGCTCTCCACTGCCCCTTCTTTCCTTATGGTGCTCGAGCTCTCTCTCTCTCTCTCTCTCTCTCTCTGCCCCCCTTCCCTCCCTCACCCTCTCCTCCCCCACCTCTCATCTCCCAGACTCCTTCCAACCCCACATTCCCACCTCCATCCCAAGCCCAAGTCCCTGTACATCCCGACTCCTATAGGAAACCTTCCTGGAGCCGCTATTCTTCCTAAGGTCAGGCCTGGACAGTAAACGTGAAAGCCACACTCTTGAACAACAGCCCAGTTCTCAATTCTAAAAAGTGGCCCATAGGTCTAGCCACTTGGCAATTCTGATCCTTTGGACTTAGCCGAACTGTAACCTCCTTTTTGAAGCCTTCCCTGACCTCTCCAGCATTTTGTCCCTACCACTAAGGCAGCACTTCTACTATCGTGTGACTGTGTCTGTTTCCCCACTAGACTGAGCTCCTTGAGGGCCATTATGTCTTCAAACCCAACCTGTAAATGATTATTCATGAAACAGGGTAGGGAGTGTGTGTGTGTGTGTGTGTGTGTGTGTGTGTGTGTGTGTGTATCACGTACGATAAAAGTATCCACCTCTTTAAGAGCAGGAACTCCCAGAGGGCCGACTTTGTGTCATTAGAAGGCTGAGGAACTCCTGACAGTACATTCTCAGTCAGTAACTACAAATATAATACCTAATCTTGTCTTTCAGGAAAGAAGGCAGGACCTCCTGGGCCCAATGGCCCCCCAGGACCTCCAGGACCTCCAGGACCCCAAGGACCCCCAGGGATTCCAGGGATTCCTGGAATTCCAGGAACAACTGTTATGGGACCACCTGGCCCTCCAGGTCCTCCTGGTCCTCAAGGACCCCCTGGTCTCCAAGGACCTTCTGGTGAGTTCTTCCATCTCTCCACCCTCCTAGGCTCCTTAAAAGTTCTTTAATAGAGCAAGAGTGGGTGGTCCCAAGAGCAGTTTCAAATGGTGGTGTGCAGTAAGAAATGCAGGTCTCCTAGTTCAGTAGAGAGCTAGGAATTGAACAAGCCCTGCTCTAACTTCTTATTTATACCAGCTTGTCAAGAAAGAGACACCTGGTCTTGACCTGTCTCAAGCCTTCCATCATAAGCCCTCCCTGACTCTAGGCCTCCCTGTAAACTCATGAGCCAGAGATAGAGGCCCTAAGGGTTCACCGGAGTTCCCACAGGGGATGGATTTGGTCTGCTCTGATTCCCAGCATTCAGCTTCACATACTGATGTTTCATTAGAAATAGGCTATGAGGAGGAATGCTGGGGACTGGACAGAATGACAAGCCCTAGAGCAGTCTCATCCCTTGAACTCTGAAATGTCTTTCCCACAGAGGTAGACAAGTAGTCACTGACGGTCAAAGAGTTGGCAACTTATGAATCACTCAGGCTGTGGAAGAAGCAGACACAGGCGCCAAGACCAACTTGTTGAGGAACCAAGTGCTTTTTGCACTATATTCTTCCCCCCACCACACTGCCCATTTGAAGAGCATTTAATCTCTTTGCATCTTTCCCTTTGGGCCCAGAAGGGCATCCAAAAGATATAGATCCAGATCCAAACCTGCCTAATTGAAGTTGACAGGAGTCAAACTATCTGGGCTTGGGTCAGTTGTTATTTCCTTCTCCTGTTCCCCTCTTGTATCTTGGGGCTTTACAGAAATGGAGTCTTTACGGCTGATTTCTCTGGATCTTTACTGCCACAAGACTCAGATTCTTTGACTCATAGTTCAGACAGGGCTAATCAGCATCACCGTGGCCCCAAGAGATGCAGTTAGGGGTTTTTTTTTCATCCAATCTTTCCACAAATATTAATTGAGCACTTTCTATGTGCAAGAGATATATTGATAAGTGGTCCCTGTTCTCGTGGAATTTATGTCCTACAGGAGGAGAGAGACAATTAAAGGAGCAAGATATTTACAAATGGCAATGCGCTCTATGAAGAAAATTAATAGAAAGGGAGCAAAAGGTTAAAGAAGCAAGCACCGTCGTCTCGGGGTCACGTGGTGGCAGGAAAACACTCTCCTCTGTCTCCCTAGGTGCTCGGTGGCACTTCCCTTAGACCAGCGTTGGTGAGAGGCCAGTTTCCCTGCTGGTTGCTAGGCCCACTGAAGATGCAGGTCGGGAGCAAGTAAGAGAAGGAAGGGGTGTCCTCTCCTACCCCAGTGCCCTGCATCACACCCTGACTCTCCCTCCATTTCTGAGCCCTGGAAAATAGCACTCAGACAGGGCTTCACTACAGGGAGCAAAAGCTCAGTGCCACTGGCTGCCTAGGTGAGGAGTAAAGGAAGTAGAAAGAGCACGCCCTCTGACTGGCCTGTCCTATTTTGCAGGTGCTGCTGATAAAGCTGGAACTCGAGAAAACCAGGTTGGCTGGGAATTGCTCTCTTGCTGGAGAGGAGGGAAGACCACAGGCTAGAGCCACCCTTGAGTTTGCTCCCTATTAAATTTGCCGAGGCTTTATCTTGTGAGGAGACCCTGGAGGTTCGGAGGTTCTTCATTCGCAGCCTCCTCCATCTCTATGAATAGAAAAGCTTTGCCCCAGGGCCTGCCTTTAGCAAGGGAACTGAGTCTTGTCATGGCCATTTTTCCCCATTCCCCAGGAGACAGAGGGTCACCATAGCCAAACCCAATAGTCAGCTGCCAGTCAGGCCTATTCACCTGGACCTCCGCCTCCCCGGCCACCCCAGACACCTTGTCGGCCCTCAGACCACCTGACATCAGCAGCTTAGAAGTTTAAGAGTATGTCCTTGAAAATCAGCCAACCAGCTCTGGGTCAAGCCCAGCCTGGCCTGAAGGGCTCCTCCCTAGTCTCTGAGCTTCCTGATCCGTCTCTACTGGCAGGTTCCGCCGCCTCGCCTTGTCTCATCTCAGCCTCCCTCACTACAGCTGTTTGGTCACGGCGATCAATCTACACAGTTGCACGGTGCTTGATGGCTTGCAGGGCATTTTATATTCGTCACCTCAGTTGATCTTCATACATCCCTGTGAGAGAGGTCAGACAGAGATTCTCATGATCCCCATTTCACAGTTAGCGAAATGAGGCTCAGAGGCATTATATTTGGCTGAGGTCACACAGCTATGAAGTGGCAGAGCTACAAAATCATATTACCCTCTAGCAGAAATGTGGCCACTCGCATCCCAAGAAAGGGGAGAGGGATCAGAATTGGGATACAAATGAAGACTAGAAACCAGAGGTGGAATCCTGGCAACTGGTGGCTGAGCAAGCATCCATTTCTCACAGTGACTACTCTCTCTGTCTTTCTTATCCTCCCAGCCAGCCGTGGTGCATCTACAGGGCCAAGGGTCAGCAATCCAAGTCAAGAATGGTAAGAGTCAAAGTAGGCTCTCTCCCTAAGGAGAGTTACCCCCAGCCTTCAAATAGTCACCCAGCCTTGTTCCTCCCAGGCCCCTGAGGTACCCTTCACGTCAATTAGGGGCCATTCTCTGCTCCATTTTGCCCTCTGCTGGCTGTCCTGAGTAATTGCTTGCCCTAAGGTTACTACAAATTGCATTTAGAATCGCTGATGAGGAAGCTGAAAGGGACTTGAGACATTGTCTAAACCAGGGATTCTTGGGAGGTGGAGGCTGAATCAGCGTCACCCTTGGGGATATGTGTAGTTTTATCTCCATTTTCACAATACAAATTAGAGAAAGCAGAACGACATAAAATCGAATCTTCTTGTCTGATGGGTCTACACAGAAAATGGATGGAGGAGGCATTTCTCTCAGGGAAGTGGGGGGCATGTTAGACTCTCCAGGGAGTATGAGATGCTAGTGTCTATAAAAAAGGGGGATGGATTTCATGAGGTTAGATACCCTAATTTAGTGTAATCCCTGCATTTAAAAGGTGGGGAAACAGTGCCAGACAAATTGGACACCACCATACTAAATCTACTGCCTTATATCTGTATGGTACTTTAGAGTTTTCAACATACTTTGTCTTTGATTTGATTTGATCCTCACGACAGAGGTAGGCATTAGCTCCTTTTTACAGAGACAGAAACTGAAGCTCAGAGAGGTTGCTTAACTGGCCCAAGGTTTCCGTTAAGTGTAGGAGCGGGGATTCAAAACCACATCTGTCTGACTCTCTCCACTGCACTATGCCACTTCAGAGATGTGTGTGTATACTCCACTGAATGATTAGCTTCATTTTCTTCCTCAAAGAGACATGAACGTTCATTAAAGAACAGCGCTTTGAAATAATGTCCAGTCCCCAGGGTGCACAAAGCCTAAAATGCATGAACCCCCAGGAGCCTTGGGAAGCAGCAAGCCAGCCAAGATGGCAGACACTTACTGGGAGGGGCTGTGAGTACAGAAACAGTAAATGAAGGTTCAGAAACCTGCTGCATGGGGACAGCTTCTAAGAGCCCAGTCAGTCCTGAACTGGCTGTGCTCTGCTTCCTTAATGGTCGGGCTTAGCTACATCCTGGAGTGCCACCAGAATGCCTGACTCAGTCACCTCAGAAATATAAGTAGGAACAGAATGGCACCAAAACTTAAGCAGTCCTGCTGGGACCAAGTACCTTGGGCCCCAGGGCCCTGGATGGGCCATGATCACCATCTGTCCAGAGAAGGGTGAGACAGGCAGGAAATAGATTTGTTTGGGTGTCTCGTTGGGTGGCCTCAATGTTTATGCCAGAGGCTACTGATTTTGCTCCCACCACATAACAAGACTGGTTCCAACCCCTCTGGGCCAATCCCCAGTAGTAGTCTATGCTGATCTTTAGTTGCAACAGAAGCAAGAGTGAGAGCATCAGGGCTTCCCTGGTGGCTCAGTGGTTAAAAATCCGCCTGCCAATGCAGGGGACACGGGTTCGAGCCCTGGTCCGGGAAGATCCCACATGCTGTGGAGCAACTAAGCCCGTGCGCCACAACTGCTGAAGCCTGTGTGCCTAGAGCCTGTGCTCCGCAACAAGGGAAGCCACCGCAATGAGAAGCCCGCGCACCACAACACAAGAAAGAGTAGCCCCCGCTCGCCGCAACTAAAAACGGCTCGCGCGCAGCAACAAAGACCCAACACAGCCAAAGATAAATAAATTAAAATTTAAAATAAAGAGTGAAGGCATCAGGGGTAGGAAGATACCATGCAGAGCAGTCCTCCGTGAGGGGCAGAGCCAGGGCATCTCCTCCAAACTCCTATCCCATCTGCTTATCACCTTAAGGGAAGACGGGCACCTTTTCTAGAAGGCCAGTTTCCTTACACCTCAGAAAGGCAGACCTCCTGAGACTAGCCAAGGATGGACTTTCAAAACATATTTTCTTGAATTAAGAATGGATGGTTTTGAGGCGAGAAGGCTCCCTAGGCCTGGACTCCCTCCTCTTGAGGTGGGAAGGAACATCCCCCTTGCTGCAAGATGGAAAGGGAAGCTTTTCCTCCTCCCTCACATGCCAGCCCCCACCGTCCAGCCAAGGTGGAGTGACTGACCCTCCGCCCCATATGGGATATTACTGAGAGACGTGCTTTGCTGGGGTGCCTCAGTGCCCAGACACCCTCTCCATCCCTTTGGTTGGTTCCAGTGCTTCGTTGCAGTCTATCCCTCACTCTCATAAGGATCCCTCTCCCCTACAGGGCTTTATTACTGGTGGTCACTTGCTCGGGCTACCATGAAGTCTGACTCACACCTGATCCCTAAGGTTCTCCGGGTAGACAGTTCCTTGGGCTGAGTGGTTTCCTGAGGGCCCAGCAAGGCTTTCCAGAAAGGAGTGGGTGTGGAGGTGCTATAGAAAGGAACCTCTTAAGGACAAGGACAAAACCCATGAACCTATAAGACAGGAGAGGGATTCAGGAGCTATAGCTGGTGAGATGAAATGGAATAATAAGACCTAGCCTGCCCCTCAGTGTCTGGATTTTGCCTGTGCAGGCCCCAGAACAACAAAGAAAATAGGGCAGCGTGCCTGCCCTCTTCTTACCTCCCCCTCACCCAATTCCAGCTAGAAGGTGTTGCTTAAATATCCTTCCAGACAGAGGGGTCAGGAAAGGAGAGAGGAAGGAGGACAGGCAGACCCCAGCGGCCTGAGGCAGGCCTAGCTGCCACTTTACAAACAGACTGCTTTCTCTGCTTCCAGATGCTGTTCTTAAAGCTTGGCCTCCTGGGCTATCCAGGTTGTATTGGGATGGGGCTGGGGGTTGTGTACGGCCTGATATTTCTTGTATTTACTGCCCAGATAGTTCTGACATGTACTGAGTGACTGCCCTTCTCTCATACTGAGATCTTTCAGGTGGAGTGCTCAATGACTGGTCTCGCATCACCATGAACCCCAAGGTGTTTAAGCTACACCCCCGCAGTGGGGAGTTGGAGGTACTGGTGGACGGCACCTACTTCATCTATAGTCAGGTAGAAGTGAGTACGGTCTCAGGCCTAACTCTTCTTATATCCAGAATGCAGATCTCGTGCAGGCCACAGAGGGGCACTGTGGAGCCGGCCCAGCCCAGCCAATGGCTAACGTCCTGCTTTGCGGGGGTGGGGCGGGGAGGGCGCACTGGGAGGGAGTTGAAAAGAGGGAGGAAAGAGATGGGGTGCTGTCTGGTGTTTTTTCCTAGCCAGATATGATTGAAAAACTGAAAAGAGGCCCATCCCACGCCCTGCCATCTGATTCCCTCCTACAGAGCCCCAGGCCCTAGTTTCCCCACTGAGTTGTTTGGTTCTACTGCCAAACTTGAACTCTGCCTTAGTATATATTCTTTGCAAGTCAGTTCCAGGGCTGCTGAGGACCCCTTCCTCCCACACTACTGGCTTTATAATGAAAACTGAGAGTGCCCCTCCGGACCTTCTCTCCACCTCAAAAAGATTTCTGTCTTTCCTTCTTTCTCCCATTTGTTTCTCTACCTTTCTGCTTCTCTGTCATTCTTGCCTCCCCCCTGCTGTCGTTCTCCAAGCCCTTTTCTCCCTCTGTTTTTGTCCTTGTCCTGGCCCAGGGCCCACTCCCCAGGTCAACCAGTGCCCATCCACTTCCACCCCGGTTGTTTGTCTCCAATGGGGTGGCTCCTCAGAGCTAGCGGTGGGCAAGCCTTGAGGCCGGGGCTTCTGAGGGGCGGGCGGCAAGCGGGTGGATGGACAGAAAGACGCTGGAGCCGGTAGAAGGGTCTCCCAGGAGAGTGGCCAGAGAAGGTGGGTTCACGAGCATTTGCTGAGCCTACTGAGCATCTTGGCACAGCTTGGGTCCTGACCCAAGAAACTGTATGGCACCTGAATACACTGCAGCCTCCTGAACAGGCTGTGGTGGGAACAGCCTTCCATAAAGTGAGTTAGGGCAACAGATGAGTGTCCCAGTCCCCAGGGGTATGATCCCAATGTCCTAAGTGCCATTTGGTGGGGGTGGGGATCAAAGCTGGGGGTGGGGTGTGAAGGATAAGGGTCGTGAAGAAGAGAAAAATTAATTTTCTGGGCCTGGGATAGAACTGGGAGTGGCCTCAGGCCTTGTACCCCACGCAAACTGGGAAAATGCCCTGGACATCATGCCACTGAACACAGCTTAGCACTTCCTTCTGGCCACGAAGTTAGTTTTGCCCTTCCACATTCTTTATCTCATTTGTGACAGATAGTTCTCCATCCCTCTGCATCTGTTTCCTCAATCATCAGACGAGAGCGCCAAGGGGCATTGGGAGAATCAGTGAGAGAAATTCAGCCTCAGGGGAGCAGGGTGCAGAGAACTGAAGAACTCGCAGATTGGTCCTGTGCCCTCTCTGGGGAATCAGCAACTGCTAAGTTTATCTACAAATGGTCCCTGGGGCTGGAAATTGGAAATTGATTCACCTTCGTTTGTGTCTGTAGCACTGATCCAGCACCTAATGTGTGCCGAGAACTGTGCTGGAGGGCAGGGGGCAGGGAGGGGGCGCTGGGGGAGGTAAAGGGGTGAATGAGGCATGGTTCTGGCTCTTGCAGAGTCTCCCACCCGTGTGCTGTCGAAAGAGGTTTGCTTAACCCCCTGAGCCCAATGGAGGGGAGGCAGGACAGCGAATAAGCCTGTCGCCCCGCCCGTCCTGTTGGCCGACTAGCGTGCCTTCAAGAGGTGCAGTGGCAGCTCGCGTGAGCAGGTCGCGTCTGCCGGTCACCAGGGAGGGCCCACCCTCTCCTTCCGCTCGCCCCCAATCCCTTCTCGTTGCCTCTCCCCCAGGTATACTACATCAACTTCACTGACTTTGCCAGCTATGAGGTGGTGGTGGACGAGAAGCCCTTCCTGCAGTGCACCCGCAGCATCGAGACAGGCAAAACCAACTACAACACGTGTTACACGGCGGGCGTCTGCCTTCTCAAAGCGCGGCAGAAGATCGCCGTGAAGATGGTGCACGCCGACATCTCCATCAACATGAGCAAGCACACCACCTTCTTCGGGGCCATCAGGCTGGGCGAGGCCCCTGCATCCTAGATTCCCCCCCCCCCTCCCCAATCCCATTTTGCCCTGCCCGTGCTCCTACCCCAGGTTAGGGAGCCGGGACTTCCAGAACCTAAGTGCTGCTGTGGAGTGAGGTGTGTGGGTGTAGCAGCCACAGAGAAAAATGCCCCAGTGCTATTTATTCCCCGGTGACTCCAGGATGACAAGGTCTGCTTGACTTTCCAGAATGACCTTGAGTGAACAGGACATGAAGCAGAACCTTCCTCCTTGGCTCCGTGTTGACTGCTTCTGGCATGACTCTTCAACCTCGAGGTCCCGGGTGTCATTTTGTTGCACTAAAGTGAGGGGCTCAGGCAGCAGGCGAGAATTAGCAAAGGTGCAGCCCAGACTGTGGGGTGAGCCTCTGACCCCGAAGGGCGGGGCAGGAGGGGAGCATTGCAACCTAAAGAGAGGGGCAGGGAGGGAAAGGCAGGTGCTTGTGGCAGAGCCCAGGGGAGAAACCTGCCAGATGGTTTTCCCACTATCGCTGAGCCGCGTCCCGGCAGCTGGCAGGGCTTTGAGGACAGGAGGTTTGCTTTTCCTTGGAGCAATTGCAGGGCATGGCCAGAAACCTGCCTGGGTAAGAAACAGAGGCCGTGCTTGGGGCCACATGTCTTTCACTTTGTTTACAGCTGTGCTCCAAGCTCAGAAGACTCCTTGGGTCCCCCCGCAATTGTCCCCTTCCCAACCTGGCGAGAACCTCCGTTTTCTTCCTCCCCAGAGCCTACCTCTGTCTGAGACAGGTGCCTATCCTGGGACCTGCGTTTATGTGAGTCTGGGATACTCTAGATTACCTGGGCACAAAGGAAATTTTCCTTTTATTAAGCAACACAAATATTCATCTAGTCAAGTCGCGTCTGGGGGCAAAGGGTTGGACTGGATGACCTCCAGAAGTTCCTTCAAATTCTAATATTTAGGCAGCTGCCAGGCTAGCCTGCTAACATTCCCAGACCCTAGACTGACCCTGGGCCTCGGCAAGACAGAGCTTTTCTACCTGACCTGGAAAGGGTAAGAGCTGAGGCTAGGACAGGGTTTTCTTCAAGTGTGTTGCAACCCAAGTGGTCACTAGCCCAGGCCTTGTCTGAAAGGACAGCAGCTGATGCCCTACTAACCACATCCCCCTTTCTTCTCTCTGGCTCCGGAAAACCACAGCACAGCAGAGTCACCATAGACTCCAGGGCTGCTCCCCTGAATCCAGGCTCAGGAGGAGGCAGCGTCTAGGCACGGGGCAGGGCTCTGCCCTCTAGTCAGGCCCAAAGACACCAGCCCCCACAACCCCAAGCTTCCCATCAAATCATATGACAAGATCATTCAAGGGCCTTATTTCTAACTGCCTGGGCCCAGTCTAGGTGCTGAGTCTAACCCAAAGCTGGGAGGGCCAGTCTTGTAGAATCTGCTACTCTTACTCCTGAAACGTTTCCTTTTGAGGAGAGAGGGAATAAGCTCCTTCAGGCAGCTGAAATCCACCAAGAACAAGAGGTACTCATTTCTCTGCTGTGCCTTCCCTTTCTAAGCAAATACACTGCTTGACCCTTCAAGGGTCAGGGCAAGAGGGGGTGAGCTGCGCCACCATCGTCTGGTTGCTAGTGACAGCCTTGCCATCCCAGCTGAGGCAAACTCGAGGCATGTGTTTGGACCCAGCTCCTATAAAGTGCCTTAGACAGTCCTCAGTTATAGCAGGATCTGATGAGAACGTCTCCTTAAAGTCTGTAAAGTGCTTTCTCTCGTATCTCCTTTGATAATATTACCAATCCCATTGTTTAGACGAGGCTCAGAGAGGTTAAGTGCTTTGACCAGCTTAAGTCACAAACCTGGGGCTTTCAACCAGGTCTGATTACAAAGCTATTCTGTTCTGCCCCAGCATTGCGTTGAATTTGGAATCTAAAGAGAACCAATAAAAATGGTAATGTGGAGCTCAAATCCTTGAGGGACCTAGGGAGAAACCCAAAGAGGCTAGTTTTCATTCCTTGATGGTAACGCCTCTTCTCTTGGCTGCCAGGGGCTCTGGGGAAAACAAGTATGCAGTTTCTTTGGAAAATACCCATCAGCCTTAGAGCTCTTGTGTTCAGAAGAATCATCTTGGTACCATGCCCGAGCAGCAGGCCTCCAGTACCCACAGAATGGATGCCCCTCATATTCTTTCATCCACCCAATAAACCAACCAACCATTGTGTACAGAGCCCCAACTGTGGACAAGGACCTCCTCTGGTTACCCTTCAGCCAGGTTATAGGAACTAGCCACTTCGCGCAGCTACTAAGTGACTCCTTATCTCTTTCTGCCATACCACAAAGACCTCTGTACTACCAGGATCTCTCAGGGATGCAGGGAAGACCTGAGAGAGGTCTGGTTCTAAAGCCAAAAGGGTGTGAGATGAAGGAAGGAAAAGACTTCTCAATTGTTCCCCTAAAGGAACATTCTGACATCCACCCTATTCTCCAGACATGGAGGGGATTAGAGGGGAAGTGGGATTCGCACAGGACTCCTTTATTCATTGCGACCCCTCAAAAGGAACCCTGGAGGGAGAGGGGTGATGAGGGAAGCAAGAAGTAGCCCTGTTGCTGCAAAGTTATTCAAGCAGTTTACTCTTAAGAGGATGTGGAACTAGACTCACACCTTGGAATTATGCAGATGTGGCTTTTCCAGAAGGCCAAAGCTAGCATAGAGAATAGGATGAGGGCATTTGTGAGCAAGTGGATGACACAGGTTTGAAGGAGAATTGCATGGCGGGGGCTTTGCCAGCTGCTTCGGCTTCAACAGCCAAAGCTGACACAAAAGGCAGCTACTGAGGGCTGTTCAGCTACTGGTTCCTCGGAAAATGTTGTCTTTGCCTTATTTCCCCCTTCATCCACCCTGAGCCAAATTTCTTTTGATGAGCAGTAAAGGGCTAGGCACCCTGGAGGTGAACAAAGACTTTGAGCCATGTGTGAGTATGTGTGTTTTATGTAACCTGTGGTGGATGCAAATAGATTCAGAGAAACAGAGTTTGAGAGGCCCTTAGAGGGAGTCTAGCCCAACCTACGTTCTACCGCATGTTACTCATGTGGAAACTGAGGCCCAGAGACAGAAGGCGACCTGCCCGAGGTGAAGGAGCCCCAACCTCCAGACTCAGCAGGGTGAGGGGGGAACAGTCCATGTCCCACACAGCCCCCTTATTTCTACCACCCACAGACTCGAGGCTGGAAGTTCTTGGCCGCCATCAGGAGCCAGGCCAGGCAGGGAAAGCATAACCACAGCCTTGGTCAGAGTGCTTCCTTCCCCAGGGCACTCTCCCAGCTTCTGCCTCTGGATGGAAGGCTCCAGATGGGCCCAACACCACGGAGTCCTGAGGCCACTCTGGCGCTGCCTCAGGCACCGTCCCTGCCTGGAGGCTTCCCTAGGCCATGTGAGCACGAAGACGGAAATGGGTTTTTTTTTTTTTTTTTTTTGGTAATCCTTTTCAGGGCTCTCTCCAAGTCGAGTTGGGGTATGTCATTTCTTTAGTCAAAAAGCTTCCAGCTGGGGTGCGGGGGTGGGCTTTGTGGTGAGGATGGCCTGAAGCAGGCCCAGTGCTGCTTTGGGGGTCAGCATTCAGTGTGAGATACTGTGTATATAAACTATACATAATGTATATAAACTGGGATGTAAGTTTGTGTAAATTAATGGTTTATTCTTTGCAAATAAAGCTTTTTCCCCTTGTTCTTAAGATCAGCTTAAGCACTTCCTACCTGCTAGGTGCTTCTTTTGTTTTTTGCTCTTGTTGTTCTGGTGGTGGTGCTGGCGGTTGGCCGTGCCCTGTGGCTTGGGGGATCTTAGTTCCCCGACCAGGATTGAACCTGTGCCCTCAGCAGGGAAAGCCCAGAATCCTAACCACTGGACCGTGAGGGAATTCCCACTAGGTGTTTCTTTGACACCACACATGAGCTTGGGGAAGGACCGAGGCACCCATTTTAGAAGGGGCAGCAGGAGGAAGGTGGTGTGAATTTCCTGTCAGAACATCCCGCATCTTCTCTGCGCCTCAGCTCACACGCACCCATCCCCATCACCTAGGTCTTTTCCTGTAACCGCATGTCTGATAGGCTAGAGGTCCTGCAAAAAGGAACATTGTCCTGAGGCAAAGACACAGCAGGGAGTCACCCTCAGCTTGAGACCGTAGCATCTATAACATTCTTCAGGCCTCAGCCCAAAACAGCTTTGGTAGATCCAGCCTCCAGCTCCCCATGATGTATCGTCCCATTTTGCAGATGAGGGGACCACCATTAAAGAGTTTAAGTAGCTCCCCCAAGGTCACCCAACTAGAAAGTTTACTTAAACTTTCAAACAACTGTTGACAAGATCCTACACTGTAAACTTTCTTTTTTAAAAAATAGATTAGGGATTTCCTTGGCAGTCCAGTGGTTAATTCCCCATGCTTCCAACGCAGGGGGCACGGGTTCAATCCCCGGTTGGGGAACTAAGATCCCATGTGCTGCGCGGCCAAAAAATAAAATAAAAAAGACAAACTTTAAAAAATAAGAATAGATTAGAATGTTTTTTTAATTGGATAAACTTTCTTTTAAACATTGAGATGTCATGAAATGTAGGGCATTGCTTGCTCAGGGACAGGAAGTGGGCAAAATGGTTGGTGGAGAATACTTTTGTGTAGCTCTCCAGTTTACAAAGTTCAATCACCTTCGATATCATCATCCCACCAGCCTTTGAGGTAAGCAGGGGAGGGACTATTTGTCCCATTTTACAGATGAGGAAGCAGGCTCAGAGAAGACTGATCCAAGTCACAGGGCGTGAAGGTGGAGGGGCCTAAACTCAAAGCCTACTGGAGCTCAAGGCCGCCAGTCCTGGAGGGGCCTTGATGCCAGAAGATGGGGCTGCTTAAGAGCCGGAGAAGAAGAGACAAGTGCAGGGATACTAGGCCCTCAGAACAGGCTGGGTGGGGCCAGGCAGTATCAGAAGGTGGGCTTTTTGTTCTGTGCCTTGTTTTCCTCAGTGCTGATGCTGAGTGGGCATGTGTGAGGGAGCTTTCAGGACCCCTCTCCCCTAGGGCCTTCCCTGGCTTTGGGGCCGTCTCCTTGTAACCCCGAGGAAAAGGCAGAGAAGAGCTAGAAGGAGAGAAAGGGAGGAAGAGGGATCCAGAAAACAGCCCAACAGGCACCCACACGCATGTACCTGTCACAGTGAGGACTGGCCGAATCA